CCCTAGTGACAGACAGTCCAACCTTGGAGTCTTCTGAAAGATCCCATGGAGTCCAGATCCTGGGGCTCTGCTCACAGGACTTGTCACTCTCCTCAAAGACAGGTCAGGTCCGGGTGGCCAGCACATCCTGCCGGCACCCTCAGGGCCCTCGAGGACTCTCCACCACAGCACAAGGTCACTTCAGGTTCCTTCTTCGCCTAACCCACTTTCTGTCATCCTCTCTAGTCCTTGCCCTCCCCATGCCCCACTCCTTCCTAACGAGCTAAGAGCCCCCGTATGAAGGACTGAGCCTGAAGCCACCCATCTCTGGGAGGCCCTGTTTTCCTCATGTGCAGCATTGACTGTAGGGCTGAAGAGCAGAAAACGGAGACCGTGAGGAAGTACTGAGAGCTAGACTGATCCCCTGAACCCTACTGGACCCGTTCACAGCTACCATTTCCATCTCCCTCCAGGAAAAAGATCTTCCAGTTGGAGTTACTCATTCTGACTCTTCCTTCAGTGGCTCAGAACTGGATCGAAGGTAAAGGCCGTCGGGTACTTTCCTTCTTCCTGTGCATGGGTGTGGGGTTATTGACTGGGCCATGACCAGCTTCTCAGTGGGTACACTCATAAAGAAATGACTCCCTCCCCTAGCAGCCAGAAGCTGCCAGTAGCTTCTTGGCTAGGGGTGGGGCCTCGTGAGAGGTAGATAAGAGACTAAGCAATGGCTGAAGGCTGAGGGACTAGGCCAGCTTTGCAGAGGTTTTGGTTAGCTAGAGATGGCACTTGCCATATGCCTTGGTGTTTCCCCAAATCTGTGAAAACAGTGGGAAGGAGGAATTCTCTCTAGAGAGAAAAGAGCTCAGTGACAGGACTTGGCTGGACATTGATGAAGCCTCAAAGCTGGAGGGATGGGGGGCTGGGAGATGGGGGAGGGGCTGGCTGGCTGGGGGTCAGAAGGATGGGGGGCTGGTGAGATGGGGGGCTGGTGAGATGGGGGGCTGGTGAGATGGCTGTCAGGTTAAGTTCACTGGCAGCTTTTTCAGAGGACCCAGGTTTGGTTTTTAGCATCCACATGGCAGCTTGGAACCATCTATAATTCTAGTTCTAGGGGATCTGAGCCCCTGTTCTAGACTCTCAGGCACCAGGCACACATGTGGTGTAGAGACATACATGTAGGCAACCACTTATATACATAAAATAATAAATTTTTAAAAACCTGCCAGGCACGAGGTGCCGTCCTCGGAGTTGTAGAGGGACTTGTAGACAAAGGCACAGCACCATGGGCACACATAAAGGCTGCTCATCACAGTAGCCTTATCCAGGACAGAAAGACCTGACTGATGCACAGACTGGGCCAGAGCAGAGGAGGAAAGGCATCTGGGCCGTGGGAACAGGCCTAAGGCAACATTTGAAAGCACACACATGGACTGAAAGGCCATCCAACTGGAAAAGTGGCCATTTCAAACCAAGCAGGCTCTGTCTGTCATGCTCTGGAGTCTGGATGCTGTCCTTGGAACAATAAGAACAGAACAGTCAGATTTATGACTCAGAAAGCTGGCTTGGGCAGCTATTTGGTTAAAACAGGCTGGGACCAGTTCAATGGCAATGGCTGAAGCCCAGCAGATAGAGGACACTTGGGTCCCCGGATGCATTAAGTTCATGCCGCTGTGAGAGGCCGAGGCAAGAGAATCAGGAATTCAAGGGCATTCTTAGCTATAAGGCAAGTTTGAGGCTGCTTGAGACCCTGTATCAAAAAACAAAAAAAGGCCAGCAAGATGGCTCACTAGGTAAAGGCACTTGCCACCGAACCCGGTGACCTGAGTTCAAAGAAACGGTGACCCACACCTTTAGTCCCAGCATTTGGGAGGCAGAGGTGGGCGTGTTCCTTCGAATTCAAGGTCAGCCTGGTCTACACAGTACTACTCTTCTGGAAAAAAAATAAAAATAAAATAAAATAGAACACAATCTGAGCCAGGTGTTGGTGGCACATGTCTTTAATCCCAGCACTTGGGAGGCAGAGGCAAGAGAATCTCTGTGAGTTTGAGGCCAGCCTGGCCTACAGAGTGAGTTCCAGGACAGCCAGGGCTATACAGAGAAACCCTGTCTTGAAAAACTAAACTAAACCAAACAAACCGTGATCTGAGTTTAATCTGAGACCTACCTGGTGGCAGGAGAAAATCAGCTCCCGCACTGTCCTCCAACATCCACTCTTGTACTCTGCCCCCAAACACCCACAAGTAAGTAAATGTAATAAATAATCTGTCTGGAGCAGGGTCTCACTTAAGTAGCCCAGATTAGTCTTGAACTCGGATCTACCTATCTGTGCCTCTAGAGTGCTACCTGGCTTATAATTTTTTTCTAAAAAGAAAAAAGCAGCCGGGCGGTGATGGCGCATGCCTTTAATCCCAGCACTCGGGAGGCAGAGCCAGGCGGATCTCTGTGAGTTCGAGGCCAGCCTGGGCTACCAAGTGAGTTCCAGGAGAGGCGCAAAGCTACACAGAGAAACCCTGTCTCGAAAAACCAAAAAAAAAAAAAAAAAAAAAAGGAAAAAAAGCTTGCATGTGTGTGATGCACAGACATACATGCAGAAAATACCCACACACACAAAAAATATTTTAAGTTGGTAAGCAAAGACAGAACTTTCCCATTAGGTCCCTGTTCTTTGGCTGGTTGGTGCTGAACAAACCCGAGACTCATTCTTTCTTCCCGGTTTGTCTTACTCAGTATCACCTTGCACTTCAAAATCTCTTGTCCGGCTTCACCTGCTTTCAGCTACTCACGGAGTCCAGTCTTCATGGTGCCGCAGGTGAAGATAGAGATGGAGTCTGACCTTGACTTCACAGACAATGAGGACTGTGGGAGAGAGGTGGGCGGGGAGACCACCCTCTAGCACAGCACTGCTCTTCTGGGCTGAGGACAGGGTGAAGGCTGGCCCCGGCTTCATCTAGAGGGTCAAGCCCTTCACATGTTTCCTTACCCGCTGACCAGATAGACAGCTGGAGGCCTTTCCATGACATCCAACACAGACACAAAGCTCTCCTCTTTGCAGTTATTAAAACATCCCACACAGAACCATATGGCCACCCAGCATAGATATAACCTTTCTTCTGAAATGAACAAAAATGTTTTCCAAGGTTACAAGTAAGATAAATGGGCAGTTGGTGGACTTACATTTCAAGTCTATACTGACTCAGTATCTTCTATTTAAAAATTTGCCGATTTAGTATCTTTTAAAGGTTAGATTGAAATCTAGATGACTTGAAGGCCTGAGTGTGCTCTGGAGGTTTGCACATTAGGAAATGGCTGAGTCGTCTGTTTGCCTTGTTCTCTTGAAGTTGAGTCCTGTCTACAGCGGGCCTGGCTCTAGAAGGGTGGCTGGGCCTTCCACACACTGCCCGGCCAGTTCCAAAGTTATTCAAGGAAGAACCCGTGCATGGGTGGATTGTTGGTTTGACATAGGTACTCACTGTGTACCCTCAGCTGTCCTGGAACTCCCTCTGCAGACCAGGCTGGCCTCAGAGCTCGGAGCTCCACCTGTCTCTGGGGTGGATTAAAGGCCTGTGCCTCAACTGGCTCTGAGTGGATTAAGACAAAATAGTGCTCATTAACTGAACTCTCAAGCCACGTTAGGTCAACCAAATGACCCTTTAAACTTGCCACTGGCTTCATAACCTGGAGTCTACTTGTTATCCATTTGAGTAGGTCTCCCCGCCCCCGTCTGCCCCCCACAGCAATTTTTGCAATAGCTAAGTTCCAAATTTCTAAGCTCACAAACATTGCCTGTTAGGCAGCTAATGTTCGTAATAAAACTAGTACTTTATATACAAGTGGTTGGAAAAAAAACAATCCCAAATGGGGTAAGACTGCCCAGCTCTTCCAAACCGTTTCCAAGATGAAATTGTTTATCTTCCTCTGTACCAATCCTGGGGGAGCCAACAGCATACACGTTTCGCTGGTCTGTGCTAGCACTCTATCCAGATTAAACTGTAGCGTTGTTACACATTCAGAGGTGGTGTGCTCCAGTAATCACACGAGCTGGGAACCAGCCAGCTTTTAAAAGGTTGGTGTAAGTTGATCATGTAATTTTGACCTTAAATATCACTTGTATTTTGTATATAAATGAACATTTTAACCTCAGCAGCCTTTAACATGTTGGTGTAGTCACCATTCACTTAGGAACATTTTTTTGTCCATATCTAATGTAAACGGGCACTTCAATAAAACTTAATCGTGTCTTGCTTATCTTTTTTGTTTGTTTGCTTTTGTTTTTTTCCGAGACAGGGTTTCTCCGTGTAGTTTTGGTGCCTGTCCTGAATCTCGCTCTGTAGCCCAGGCTGGCCTCGAACTCACAGAGATCCGCCTGGCTCTGCCTCCCGAGGGCTGGGATTAAAGGCGTGCGCCACCACTGTGCAGCGTGTCTTGCTTATTTTATGCCATGTTTAATAACTGAAGGACATCAACAGCTATGTCCTGTAGCATGTACCACACCTGACTTATAGAATATCCCCAGCAAGAGAGCTGGAGAGATGGCTCAGTAGTTAAGGGCACTTGATGCTTTTGCAGAGGACCTGGGTTTGCATCCCAGCACTCTTGGGATGGCTCACAACAATGTGAACTCCAGTTCCAGATCTAAGGCCCTCTTCTGGCTTCCACAAGTACTGCACGCACGTGGCACACATGCATACACACAGACAAATACTCATATACATTAAAACAAACCCACAAGTGTAGAGTAAAGCCACTGGCAGAATAACAAGGGTACGTGTGTTGAGAATTTTGCAAGCAAGGAAGTCCTTTGGAGTGAGTGATACATAAATGGAGGGAATGGCTTAGAAGAGACCCAGAATCACTTACGTGTAATAAACTCTTGGCTTGGACCTGAGTGTTGGGATACAAAAGGGTTAGGCTGGTTTCTCCATAACTCCTTACAGAGTGGGTGTGATCTAGGAACAGCTATGGGTAGGAAATAGTAATGGGTTAGATCTGACTGAGACAGAAGAAGACAGCATTTCAGAAACTCATTTCACACCAGACAGATGTGTTTTATTTAAAAACAAAACAAAACCAACAACAGCAACAAAACCCTTCAATAAGAAAATCTGATTACCGCCGGGCGGTGGTGGCGCACGCCTTTAATCCCAGCACTCGGGAGGCAGAGCCAGGCGGATCTCTGTGAGTTCGAGGCCAGCCTGGGCTACCAAGTGAGTTCCAGGAAAGGCGCAAAGCTACAAAGAGAAACCCTGTCTCGAAAAACCAAAAAAAAAAAAAAGAAAATCTGACTAAATCTTATATTAACTCAAGCTCCTTGATACCTTCCAGGAAAGCCAACAGGGTACACGAAAGACACGCAGGCAGCTGCCGTCAGTTCTTTGGTGGCAAGTGAGTTTCACACAATCTGCCCTCATGATTATCACACCCAAGTTTTGTTTTTCAAAAAAGTAGGCCTCAAAGCTTATGCCAAAGAAAACAGACACACACTCTCTAACAGTCTGAAGTTTAAATGTGCTGCAAAAGCCGAACAGGACAATTATACACATCATTTATAAAATGATCTTTGTGATTCTAGAAGACTGAAGTAGGGCAAGCTCACAGAAGGGTAACAGCAGTGAGGAAATCCTAAAACTTCCCCAGTGACTCAGCCACGGGGGGACGGCTAGCCATGCCGGGCTTTCCTCCAACCCAGCCAACTGAGCTCTCCTCAGAGAAACCTGCTCACGAGTCGGGGTGCACGGGAAGCAAGGGAGTGCCGTCCTCCACTCTGCTGCCGTTTCCTCCTTCCCCCTAATTTTCTCTAGTCAGTTTTCCTTTGGTTTGAAAGTTGAACTCAGAAGGCTTGGAACCTCAGGTGAGTCATCAACTCGTATTGAAATAGCACTTGGGAAATGAGCGTCTAAGAAGGCAGGTTTTTCGATGGCGTTCAGCATCCACTCTGAGTGTGAGGATGTGTCCCATGCATCACCAGGCCGATGGCAGGACTCGGATGGGCACCCTGGTGAGGTTCTGCAGAGCCATGCGCACACACATCCACCCGTTTAAGCTTTCAATAAATACAAACATCATTTTAAACCATTTCAACAGAATAAATTAAAAATACTGCATTCCTCTTGGCCCACGTTGCCTCTCGGACTGGCATGGAGTACTGCTAGTTGGTGGCAACTCCACGCTGCTTGGGCTTCAGCACCTCCAGCTCTTCAGGCCTCAGCACTTTCTTGGCAGCAATAATGGTGTTCTTCATTAGCATGGCCACCGTCATGGGACCAACGCCCCCAGGGACAGGAGTGATGTAACCGGCTTTCTTCTTGACGCCTGCATAGAAACAAGACAGGCCGGCTGCTTCACATGTGTGGCAAAGATCACACGTACTTATCATAGTATGAAAAAAAGTATTCAAAGGAAGAATAAGAAATGTAAGAGCCTTCATTAGCTTCAGAGTGGGTAAGAAAGACAGCATCTATGGGGTTGGAGAGCCGGTTCAGAGGTTACGAGCACTGGCTGCTCTTGCAGAGGAAGTGGGTTGGGTTCCCAGCACCAGCAGGATGACGCATAACCATCCATAACTCCGGTTCCAAGGGATCTGACAACCTCCTCTGACCTCTGTGGGCACCAGGCACACACATGGTACACATACACATACATGCAGGCGAAATACTCATACAAAATAAACCTTTTTTTTTTAAACGAGAAGAACAGCATCTCCAGGGCAGGGCAACAGCTCAGTTATATGGCACGGGCTGTACAAATGAGGACCTGAGTTCAAGCCTCAGAACCCAAGTGAAAAAGCCAGAGGTGGTGGCATATGCCTGCACCCCAGTGCTGGGGGGCAGATAAGTAGACCCCTGGGGCTTGCTAGTCAGCCAGTCTGGACACACTAGCAAGTTCTAGGTAAACACTCCCAGTCATGAACTGAAGACACCCAAGGACACAAACACAGTGACACCCAGACATACACACATGACACACACCAACATACATATACAACACACACGCCCACAACACACACACACCAGATACACAACACAAATAGACACACCCTGTAGATGTAACCAACGGTCTTATTAAATAAGAAACAGAGCCGATTCAGAGAAGAAAGCCAAGAGGTCAGAGCTAAGAGCCTCACCCTTCCTGATTCAGGGATCCTCTTCAGCCAAGAGAGCTCTCCGAAAAAGGCCCTACTTCCTGTGTGTTTATGTCTTTATAGTCTTTCTGTTCTGCCTTCTCATTGGTTGTAAACCCAAACATGTGACTGCCTCGTCACTGCCTGTATGTACCGCCCTCCAGGTCCTTAAAGGCGTGCGCCACCGCCGCCACACACTTGCTATGGCTCCAATAGCTCTGACCCCCAGACAACTTTATTTATTAACATACAATTAAAATCACATTTCAGTACAAGTTAAATACCACCACAACACCCACACAACATACACATACACACCATTTTTTAAAAATAGCATGTATGGCCAGGTGGCGTCTTTCAGAAGGTGGAGAGCAATCCTGGAAGACTCCCAGAGTCCACCTCAGGTCTCCACAGAAATGCATCCACACATATGCAAACATGAACACAAACAGTGCACACACACACACCCCATACTTTTTAAAAAAGTGTTTTAAACAATATTACTAAAACAATACAAGCTTAAAAGTGGTAAGAAAAAAGCCAGATGGCACACACCTTTAATCCCAGCACTCAGGAGGCAGAGACATGTGGATCTCTGTGAGTTCAAGGCCAGCCTGGTCTACATAGTGTCCCTAGCCAGCCAAGGTTACCTGCTGAGACCTTGTCTTAAACAAAACAAATAAACCATAAACTATGTGAAAAGAAAATGATCTGTCCTAAATGTCCATGAAAGGTAATATTTACAGATTTATGTTTTCAAAAAATTACACTAAATACCTTCAAAATCCACATCTCCAACCAACTTGGGCTTTCCGGTGACAGGGTCCTGAACTCTGTTTATGCCCACATCTATGACTGCTACCCCTTCCTTGATCATGTCGGCTGTGATCAGATTTGGAATGCCTGGCAACAGAGAGCAAAAACCAGTAAGGCAACATACTTCATTTTAAATTTTTCTTTCATTTATTTTAGACTTACTGATTTTATGTCTGGAAATGTTTTGCCTGAATGTCTGTATATGCACCATGTCCCTGCAGGGCCCATGGAGGCCCAAAGAGGACATTATAGTCAGAGGACATCACAGGCAGGTATCTGGAAGAACTTACTAGCACGTGTTATAAGCACCATTAACTAAGGAACCATTTAAACTTCATGTGGAAATACTGAGGGTTGGGAGTACCCTCCTCCAGTCTACAACAGGGTGGTGACAGGTACACGTGTTCCAGCTGCAACTCCAGCCCCATCTCTGTAGGCAGCTCACAGAACCAGTGCTGGGGAGAGCTGGCGGGATAGCGTTTGGGCAGGTGGATGCTCAGACAAGTCAGCCTATGCACACACTTCTTTAGAGCTCTTACCAGCGGCAGATATCACAATGTCCGCAAGGATCGTGTGCTTCTTCAGCTGCTCTTTGGGAGTGTATCGGTGAGATATTGTAACTGTGGCATCACCTGAGGGGTGAAAACAGAAGCCTTGAGTTCCAGATCCAGGCTGAGATGGAGGTGGGTTTCAGCTAGTCACAGCATTGCAGGAACTCAACACCTCCAGAAAGTGACAGATTTGGCACAATTTCTAGATGGCTGATTGTCATTTATTTTAAAACCAATCCTTAGGCCAGAGAGATGGGTCAGTGGGTAAACATGCTTGGTAAGCATTCCTGACAACCTCAGTCCAACCCCCAGAACTCAAGGCAGAAGAGCACGCACACACACACACACACACACACACACACACACACACACACACACAAATAATAAATGAAATAAAAATTTAAATAAAACTGTAGCATCTGGCACTGCTCTCAGCTCAACCCTTTGGAGTCATATATAATTACATTTATTCTACTTCCGATTTTGTGGACTTTAAAGAGCTTTATATTTTCTAAGCAAAACATCACCAGAATTACTCAAGGTGAGTTTGCTCTTTGACAATAACAAAAGGTATCTGGAGATGCAGTTTTGCTTTGGTCACAAACGTTCATGTTACAGGAATTTCATACAGTTCTTGACTTAGTCAGTTTTTTCTTAGATGACCCCACAGAACATGACATGACATGCTACAGTCACATCACATCACTCTTCTGCAGGAGTCTACAGTGGCTTTGCCTCCCAGAGGACACAGAGCAGGATACCAGTTCTGAGTAAGAAAGCTTCTAGTGCTGTCCGAGCCAGAGCTGACAAGTCCTAACTGCCTACGGCCATGCTTCGTTCAAAACTCAAATCAGCGAGTTCCAGGATCCCTGGTAGCACTGAGCGCAGCCTTCCACACCACGGTTATTTTCTGAGCGTTGACAGTGGTCACAGGCTAGATTCTGAGGGTTCTCACACAGCAGGAAAGGTTGTTGTAAGGTAACTTCCTCACCTCCGGGCCGTTCATGTGCTCCATCAGTGTGCAGCAACATAGCAATCGGCATTCCAACGTTTTTTGACCTGCCAGCTACAACCACGTTCTTCCCTAAGGTTGGAATACCTGCAAAAATAAATAATACTATATAAATACACACATACACACACACACACACACACACACACACACACACACACACACACACACACTGCACGCATGCGTGTATGTGTGTGTATACATCAAATGACACAGCACAGATACCAACTTGGAATAAATACAATGAAAGCCACATCTGAAAATGTCTCATTGCCTACAACCACGCTTTTGCCAGAACTTGAATTTGTTAGGAACCGGTTCCATAAGAAGTGACTCATTCACACATATAGATCTGCATTAAAAGTAGTCCTGGTCTGTCTCAGAATGTGCAGCAGAGGAAGGCCAATGACCTAGGTCATGAATCCAGTCACTATCAGCCAGTCAGGGCTGTGGCTGCCTCATAGAGAGGGTGCGGAGAACACAGGAGTACAGCGTGAGCTGTAACATGTCTTGTGGATTCTTGCCGTCACCACTGTTAAAATTTACATTTCCTCCCCCAAGGCCTGTAGACTAGAGAGAGTCATCAGAGGCAACAGCTAGGAGGTGAGCCCTGCAGGCTGGGAACCTGGGCTGTGGGCTGGGGTCCCACTCTTTGCTGCTCTGGGGGTTTCTACCAGTTCTACATACAGGTTGAATGTCGCTTACCTGAAGTATGTGGGGCTGGGAATGTTGCAATGTTGGAGTTACTCAGATGTGGGAATATCTGCACAGCTCTTACTCTAGTAACAGTGAGAAACTAAGTATGCCGAAAGGGTTTCAGATTTTCAGACCGGGGGTGCCCAACCTAGCCTACTTTCATAATACCAAAGCAGAAATGCAATTTAAACACACACCTACCAGTTCGCTTAATTATCTCCCACACGCCCCACGGGGTTGCTGGTAGCATGGAGTACTGGTCCAAGCACATTCGCCCCACGTTAATGACGTGAAAGCCGTCAACATCCTTGTCGGGAGAAACAGCATTGCAGATCTTCCTCTCATCAATGTGCTCTACAAAAGAAATCAGGACTGTAGCCAAAAGTCCATCCCTGTTGTGAGGTAAAGGCTGACCTGCTCCAGGGTTTCAGGATTGTTATGTGAATCCACTCCTTTCTGACTTTGACATCATGACGCACAGAATGAGCGCACATGAAGCAAAGCCGTGAGTCAAATACCACAGCCAATATACTTCTCCCCCACCACTTCCTCCCACTGGCCTTTATATCAAGATCCCTATCAGGCTGGGAGGAATGACTCACCTCCGTCACCCCAGCACTTGGAAAGCTGAGGCAGGAGGACTGCTACAAGCCTGAGGCCAGCCTGGGCTACACAGAGAAATAGTAAATACTTTTGTAAGCACTTCAAACAGCAGCAGAGCTCCTCCACTGCCCAGAACTCATTAACCTTTTTTATTTTTAAAAATTATTTTATTTTTTAATGTGTATGGGCATTTTGCCTGCATGTAGGTATATATATATATCAGGTCTGTGCCTGGTGCCCATGGAGGCCAGAAGAGCGCATCAGATCCCCTGGAACTGTAGTTATGGGCAGTTGTAAGCCACCATGTGGGTGCTGGGAATTGAAGCCGAGTCCTCTGGAAGAACAGCCAGTGCTCTCCACCACCGAGCTACGTCTCAAGCTCAAATCCCTGTTCCCTTTCGAAGACCAGAACTCACCCGGGAGTGGCAGCTGAACCAGGAGGCCGTCTACGTTTTCATCGTGGTTTAATTTCCTGATTGAATTCAACAGCTCTTCCTCTGAAACTGAGGCTGGCTTCACAATCGTCTCACTGTTGATTCCTATTGTAAGAAAGGTCAAGGCTTAAAAAAACATCGAAGTACACAGCTGCAAACTGGAGGGGAAGAATAAAGACTAAGTTCTTCTCTGGGAAGAAAAACAAGAACACCAAAGTACTTCAAGAGCGTCTGTGACGTGTGACCACCATGGAGCTAAAGAGTGAACTGTCCACGAGGACTCTTCCAGCTTCACACAGATCGTTCACTCCTAGACACTAGCTCAGGGCTTGCTGTCCATTACTCTGTCCATTACTCTGTGCCTGTCTGATAACCTCATTTTGAGACAAGGAAGGAGCCTGAGACTCATACAATGCCAGCTGGAGAGAGGGAGAAATGAGTCAGCATGCTTCCTGAGAGGACCCACGTTGGATCCCAAGCACCCATGTAACAACCAGGTACACTTGCACACATCTGTCACCCCAGTGCTTAGGCCATGAGACCTGGGGATTCTCAGAGCCTGGGGGCCAGACAGTCTCTGAATCAGTGAGAGACCGATTCAAAATATAAGGTGCAGAGTAAACCCACGCACACTAAACAAACACACACACACGTGTAATAAATGTCAGGAATTTTTACAAGAGTATCTCTGTCTTGGGTGTGTAAGCACTGTGGGAAAGAGTGAGCAGCGGGATGAAGAGGCCTCTGTGGTATGGTTAAACAGTTACAGGTCTGAAGGAAAGGACTGACATCTAGGAAGTGGTTTTCAAGTTCTTCACCGATTGGCTTTATAAGCCTGGGGCTACAGTGGCTCAGGTCTTGGGGGATGGGAGACGTGTGTCTCTGTCCTTCAGGCACTGCAGATTACTGCATGACAGCTGGCTACCCGCAGCTGGCTCAGATGCTCCCGTCTGCTCATGTGACCGTCGGTGGTCTGAGCACCTGGAGCCTTCCCTTCTAATGTGGCTGGGCGGAAGGACCAAACTGTGAGCCATGTCACCAACCCACGACAGACCCTGATTGCTCAGGGGAAGTGTAGAATGTGTTCAAGGTCACCAGCAAACTGTTAAGGATAAGGATAGAATTGAGATTAGAGCCCAGAAGCCACAGCGCGACAACTCATCCTTCATTGAAAGCCCTCTCGTGGGGCCAATCCTTTGATTTAGTTTTAGATCACACTAGTCTTATGTGTTTGAGTTTTCTTTTTTTGTTGTTGTTATAATGAGTTTTTTTGTTGTGTATTGTAGATTTTGGAGACAGGGTTTCACGTAGTCCAGGATGATCTCAAACCTGCTCCGTGGCCAAGGCTGACCTTGAATTCCTGGTCCTTCCGACTCACTCTCCCAAAGGGCTGGGATTACGGTGTGGGCCATCACTCGGGGCAGAGACAGGAAGCATGCCCTAGTGTGGCCGGACAGACTTAGACAGCGACAGTAGGGCTCTGACACGACACTTACCCACTTCAGCTGCTGCCCTGGTTTTGTTCAGAACATAGGAGTGACTGGCAGGATTGTCACCAACCAAAATGACACTGAGGTGTGGCCGCTTGTTGCCCGAGGCCACCCACTCTTCCACCTCCTGCCGCACTTCTTGCTTGATCTGCTGAGCTAATTTCCTTCCAGAAATGACGACAGCTTCGTTTCTGCAGAAGGTGACAAAGTTACAAAAATGTTGCTTGGGTCTTCGCAAAAAAAAAAAAAAAAAAAGAGGAATGCTCCAACTAGAAAAAATTATCATTTGAAACCAAAAGGCTTAGGTTTAAATGTGAGATCCGGAGGAGAGATTTACGGATGGCCACCTGCTACCAGTTCAGGATGGGCGCAGGGACTGAAACAGCTCTAGGGAAGCTCAGTTCAGGATGGGCGCAGGGACTGAAACAGCTCTATGGAAGCTCAGTTCAGGATGGGCGCAGGGACTGAAACAGCTCTATGGAAGCTCAGTTCAAGTTGCTGACAGCTGACACTGGCCCAAGTAAGATTTAGACCAGGGTCTCTCAGTGCCACCTCCTCATCACTACCCAAAGTTTCTACCACTTCAGTGGGCACTTCCTTGGCCATCCCCTCGCGGCTCTGAGGCTAACCAGTTTCCTTAAATGTTGATGGTCCATTTGAAATTTGTGTTATGCTGGTGGTATGACTATCTGGTCATGTTTCTCATGATTTTCTTTTCTTTATCAAAAGGATTTATTTGTTTTTATTTCATACGTATGGGTCTCTTGCCTGAGCGTATGGATGTGTATCACGCGCTCGCAGTGCCTGAAGAGGTCAGAAGAGAGGGTCAGATCCCCGGGAACTGCAGAACAACAGACAGTTGTGAGCTGCCATGTGGGCATTGGGAATAGAACCTGGGTCCTCCGCAAGAACAAGAGCGAGTGCTCTTCACCACTGAGCCATTCTCCAGCCACACTGACCTGGGCTTTAATACAACTGTCCCCCTTCAAGCACTGCTTCCAAGATGCCTTCTTCAACCACAGGTGATCAAGTCCCTTACAGAAAATAGTGCAGTATTTGCATAATCTCTGCGTACACCCCTCACCCCTTAAATTACCTATAGGTTGTTTATAAATCTAACACAATGCAATTCTATGTGGACAGTTGTTATATAATATATTGTTGATGAGATAACAAGAAATAAAGGTCCATGTACGTTTAGAATGACGCAGAGGACTTGGTTGTATACAAACTATATCATATGGTTAATAGATCAATACACGCCACACCTGACAGATCAAACCTCAAAATATCTGCCACTACCCAGTCTCTTTCGGGGACTGTCCTGATAAGAGGGTGTGAGGGTTAGTGTTGTCAACTTGAAAGAATCTAGAATCACCTGGAAAATGGGCCCTTGGACATGCCAGTGAGGTATCATCATCTTGACATCTTTACTTGAGATGGGAAAACCATCCACTATGAGTGGCACCATTCCTTTACTGGGATGAAAAACAAAAGAAGCCTGACAGTGGGGTGATGGTGCACGCCTTTAATGCCAGCATTTGGGAGGCAGAGGCAGGTGGATCTCTGAGTTGGAGGCCAGCCTGGTCTACAGAGGACAGCCAGGGCTACAGAGAAACCTTGTCTCGAAAAACAAAACAAAACAAAACAAAAAAAAAAGAAAGAAAGAAAGAAAAATGGAGAAAAGGAGCTGATTAGCAAGTATCATTGCTCCATTTTCTCACTCTGGATGGGATGTCACCAGCTGCCTAAATCTCCCACTGCCTGGACCTCCTACCACGATGGGCCATAACCTTGAACTATTGCTTTTGTTAGGGTAATATCACAGTAACAGGAAGTACCTAAGACTGGGGTAGAGTCCTCCTCCAAGTGTTCTTTGCTCCACCCCACTGTCCATTCACAGCTGACACACCAAGGTTATCCCGGGCATTAACATACTAGTCCAAGGCAGCCTGAGTACAGGAGACCCTGCAAGGGGTTGGAGAAGGAAGATGTACACATGCTAATATGGAATTGTATACACAAATATACACACGTGCACACTGTGAGGAGTTAGCTTGTACTCCACAAAACGTTTCTTTGGAAAGCAGTAAATGCAGAGGAAACAGTAAGACGCCCACTTGGACCAAAAATGATGGGCTGAAGTTAAGGACGCAGGGTTCTGTTGAAAGGCCAGTGTTTCAAGTCCTAATCTCTGCTGCAGAGAGAGGTTCTGGATGTTATGCCAATTTACTTTAAAAAAAAAAAAAAAAGACTTAAAAAAAAGGACAAAACTACACAAAGCCAGGCCACAATGTAATGAACACTTTTCATAATCCAACTGCATTTTAATTTAACCCTCTGCTGCTTCCTGAAGTGCTAAAAAATATGAGCCATTTGAAAAGTTCCCTCCATCTCTTTGCCAAGGGCCAAATTAAGTCAGTGCTTAAGGGGAGACAGCTCAGACCCAAAATTTAAAAAATAAGAATAAAGTCTAAGTTTGTACATTTAATTTAGATATTAAATGCTCCCACAGATATGTTTAGGATTTTTGTTTGTTTGTTTTTTGTTGTTGTTTTTTGTTTTTTCGAGACAGGGTTTCTGTGTAGTTTTGGTGCCTATCCGGATCTTGCTCTGTAGTGCTGGCATGTTTAGAATTCTTCCTATTAAAATGACAAAACAGCGGGCGGTGGTGGCGCACGACTTTAATCCCAGCACTCGGGAGGCAGAGCCAGGCGGATCTCTGTGAGTTCGAGGCCAGCCTGGTCTACAAAGTGAATTCCAGGAAAGGCGCAAAACTACAGAGAAACCCTGTCTCGAAAAACCAAAAAAAAAAAAACAAAAAAAAAAAAAAAAAAAAAAAAACTAAAATGACAAAACAGACTAGAAAGAAGAGGTCTAATATAGGTCAAAACAAATATCCAAGCCAGTAATATTTATTTTCCTCTTAAACCAACAGTTAGTGATTTTTCCAGTCAATTAGTATCAGGGAAGCTTATAACTCCCAATCAACTTATTTTGAAAAAAATTCTGCTAATTAATGGGCCAGTAATGAGAAGGGGGTAGGGATGAAACCAATATTGAACTAGGTATTTTGCCAACACCTTTGCATAAATTAGTCTTGCCTATTGTGCCGAATACGAAAACCTTGTTTTATACAGTAGAGAAAACGGATGATAGTAAGAAACAAGATTCAAGTGTAAACATCTGCCACCAAGTTCATTTACTCCCCCGACCATCATGTCCTAGGCTACAGCACTCTCCCTTCAACCATGGAGTTTATGTTCCTGAAACCCTGGGACAGCAAGGTGGGCACTACAGTCATCTAATGTTCAGGGCAGTTAACACAGATCGCCTTCAGAGATAAGGAGCCCACACCCGGAGCACAAGCAAACTGGTCTGGTTCTCTGGGTAATGAATTAAAGGATCTTCTCAGTTAGCCAGGTCTCTGAACATGTGGTCCACAGCCACTTGCGACCAGAATTTCGGAGAAAGAAAGAACAGAAAAATGAAAGAGCTCAAAGAGGCAGGTCAGGATCAGATCTTGGAAAACCCTGAATAATGCCCCTCCATGTGCTCCAAAACCTCAGCATCCTGTGCACCAACACGCAGGGACCCGGAAATGTCTACCACTGGATGGAAATCTCACCTGTTTTCCCTTCAACAGGAACAAGAGTCCCATTGTGGAAGGCGCAGTTTTTATTGGCTCTAAATTTTCAGTCTCAAACTCTGTGATGTATTGGGGTGTGTGGTGTGTGGGGGGAAACAACCAGCTTTTACAAGACACAGGATAACAAGTCAATTATCCCCTGAAGGGAATGCAAACAGAATTTGCCCTGCCTTCCCCATCAGATTTTCTCTTTTCTTCAATCAACTTATTTTTTCGGGGGCGGGGGGGGGGAGGCGCTGCTTCATATTTTTTTCAACTTTTAAAAATTACGGTAAAATACTCGAAATTTACCATGTGACTTTTTTTTTTTAATATTACTGTAATTTTGAGATTGGGGAGGGAGGTGTCTTACACTGCAGCCCAGACTGGTCTCCAACTCATTACATTATCCAAGTTGGCTTTGAACTTGCAGTAATCCTCCTGCCTCAGAAGCAATCTCAACGCGCCCTGCTCTGGCAAATTTCAAGCATACGGTTTACGTGGTGTTAAACACTCTCAGAATGGTGTGACCACTACGACGGTCCACGTGCAGAACGGAAGCTCCAACACCGTAGCTCCCCCTAAAACAATGCACCCCCACTCCCAACAGCCCCCAGCAACTTCTGGGAAATGTATCATCTCAGGTCAGGCTTCGGAGTGGACCGCGGGGACCACTGCCGGGCAGGGGCATCTTGCGAACCACACCCACTTGGGAGGAGGGAAGTCGGTACCCCTGGAGCAAGCCGGCTCGCGGATTTCATCAGACTGCAGCAACCCCGGCTGCCGCTAGGGTCCGGGAAAGGCGGACCTCTCCACACCCTTCCCTGCGGCGGCAGAACAGTGTCCCCTGGGTAAGCGTCCGCATCTCCACGTGTGCCCCGGTGCCACGTCGCCCCACCACACCCCTCCGGCGGCGGCCGGTCGCGCGCCGGAAAGATGCTCAGGGAGGGAGGACATCTATCCACGCCGCACACCGCGATCCCGCTCCCCGCCACACTCACCGCACTGACGCCAGGTGGAAGGGCTGCAGGCGGGGGTGGCAGCCGTGCGCGGGGCGCAGCAACCGCACAGCCAACGAGGATAACAGGGAGGATGGAGCCATGGCCCGCGCCGGTGCCCGCGCCGGAGAGAAGCGCGCGCGCGGGCCACGAAGCTATACCCCTGGCCCGCGGAAGCCCCGCCTTCCAGCGCGCCCATTGGTCCCTGAGGCGGAGGCGGAGCCAATAGGTGGTCTCCATTCTACGTAAGCCGGCCCGGGAGCACGTCCTGATTGGCTGAAGGAGTCAAGCCCCTAACAGAGGCAGCAGAGTCTCCCCCCGCCCCGTCCTCCCCCCCCCCAGCCAGGCCAACTGAGTCTGGGGTTCATTCATTCATTCATTCGTTCACTCACTCATTCATTCATTCATCCATCCATTCATCGAAAAAAAGTCTGAACCACCTTTTGTGTGTTGAGGATCTGAAAGGCACTAAAATAATATTTTTTTTAAAAAAAGAAATCACCATTCGTCAAAATCATACTGAAAATTGATCCGGAGTCATCAAATGATGTCAGAACAACTGGGTGAAAACTGAATAAGGAGAAAGATACTTACATGCACCTTTATCACATAGGGGCTGGAGAGATGGCTCAGCGGTTAAGCGTGCTTTTAGCCTTTGCAAAGGACCTAAGTTCAATTCTAAGTCTCCTAGTGGCTCAAAACCTCTTGTAACTCCAGTTCAAAACCTCCTATATCTCCAGCTACAGAGGATCCAGTTCAAAACCTCCTATATCTCCAGCTACAGAGGATCAGACACTGCTAGCCTTCAAGGGCCCCTCATGCATACATGTCACACACACACAGAGGATCAGACACTTTCTGACCTCTGAGGGCCTCCCACACACACAAGTGACATACACATAATTAAAAACAAAACTTTTTTTTAATTTAATGTTTGCCAGGGTGACTGGAGAGATGGCTCAGTGGTTAAGAGCACTTAATTGTTCTTCCAGAGGTCCTGAGTTCAATTCCCAGCAACCATATGATGGCTTACAACCTTCTGTAATGGTATCAGATTCCTTCTTCTGGTGTGCATGAAGAAAGAGCTCTCATATACATAAAATACATGAGTAAATAAATCTTTAAAAAAAAAATAAAGTTTTCCAGGGGCTGAAAAGATGGCTCAGTGGTTAAAAGCACTGGCTGTTGTTCCAAAGGACCAGACTTCCATTCCCTGCATTCATATGGCTGCTTACACATCCATGTAGGCAAAACACATAAAATGTAAAAATGGCGGGGGGGGGGGGGAGATTTGGGGCAGTAAAGAAGATAACATGGGGGGGGGAGAAAAAAAAAAGAAGATAACATAATCTTTTTAAAAAATCTTGATCTAGTCTTTTATGTGTATGTGTTTTACCTGCAAGGGTGTCTGTGCACTATGAGAATGCCTGGTGCCTATGGAGGCCAGAAGAGGATGTTTGATCCCCTGGAACCAGGTTATGGACTGGTGAGTAGTCATGAACTCTGGTTCTCTGAAGAGCAGCAGGTGATCTTAATTGCTGAGCCATCTCTCCAGCCCCATAACCCCCCCTTTTTTCTTTTAATGAGCAAAGTTAACATTACCATTCATGGGACAAACACACATTTTTGATAGTTTTAAACAAGTCTGAAAATTTAATTTGGAAACTTTCCTAGACCAGTAATGATGGTTAATCTTTCATGGATTTAGAGTGACTTGGGAGACAAAATTCTGGGTGTGTCTGTAAGAGGTTTAACTGGGGAGGAAAAGTCTGCTCATCTCATGGACTGGGTGGGGCCTGGAGATCAATAAAATAGAGGAAGTAGAAAGCCTGCCTGTGTCCCCCACTCTGGTTACCCGTCCTTTGAGATGTGAGCTAGCAGCCTCAGGCTCCCACCACCACAGCTGGGAGCTGCTCTGTGTCTCCCACAACATGGGCTGTATAACCCCAATCCACCTGCTAGTATGAATGCTTCTTCCCTTAGGTTCCTTCTTGTCAGGTAATGGGGCACAGCAATGAGAAAATAAACTAATAAACTACCTAAAAAGTGCTAGGTATTTCTCATTACTATGTGGAGAAGTCATAGGCTTGGACAGTAGATACTGTCCAGCAAAAGAAAAAACATGTTCCTAAACCTTTGGAATAAGATAGATGATCTTAATCTACTTACAAGGAAATATCAGACAAGTCACTGTATGAGGTATGCCAATTACAGTCTTCAACAGTGCCAAGATCATGGTAGAATGAGGAGATGTTCCAGATGAAAGTTCATGATAATAAAATACAACCTGTGACTCTGAATTGAATCCTAGACACACTCACACACATAATTTTAAAACTATTGCTGTTGGGGATTTAGCTCAGTGGTAGAGCGCTTGCCCAGCAAGCACAAGGCCCTGGGTTCGATCCTCAGCTCTAGGAAAAAACAAACAAACAAACAAAAAAACAGCATGTCGCCGGGCGGTGGTGGCGCACGCCTTTAATCCCAGCACTCGGGAGGCAGAGCCAGGCGGATCTCTGTGAGTTCGAGGCCAGCCTGGACTACCAAGTGAGTTCCAGGAAAGGCACAAAGCTCCACAGAGAAACCCTGTCTCGAAAAACCTGAAAAAAAAAAAAACTATTATAGCCGGGCGGTGGTGGCACACGCCTTTAATCCCAGCACTCGGGAGGCAGAGGCAGGTGGATCTCTATGAGTTCGAGGCCAGCCTGGTCTCCAAAGGAAGTTCCAGGAAAGGCGCAAAACTACACAGAGGAACCCTGTCTTGAAAAACCAAAAAAAAAAAAAAAAAACCTATTATATTTTTTTTGTGTTTTTTCAAGACAGAGTATTGCTGGGTAGCCCTGGCTGTCCTGGAACTCACTCTGTAGACCAGGCTGGCCTTGAACTCACAGAGATCTGCCTGCCTCTGCCTCCCAAGTGCTGGGATTAAAGGTGTGCACCACTGCTGCCTGTCAACTATTATAATTTTTAAAAACACAAACAAAGAAAGAAAGTCTACAATAGTGCTTCACACCTATCCCCAACACTGAGAAGACTAAGGCAGGAGGATCACCACCAGTTTAAGGCCAGCCTGGGCTATGTAGTGAGTTTCACACCAACCTGATTTACAGAGTGGAACCTTGTCTCATAACAAACAACAACAAAAATAAAAATAACCAAACAACACATTGAATTGAAAGGGGACACACTTTTTTATAACAATGTACATTCATGAGGGGGAAAATTAGAAAAAACCAACAGCAAGTATGAGGTAGCAGCAACTGGGAATCTACAAGTATTCTCTGCTCTTTGCCTGTAACCTTTCTGTATGTCTGAAACTATCTCAAAAATTAAGAAACAGTAGTCTTTGTGCTCTTGAGGCTTGGGGTGAGGCACATATACTGTGAATAAGAGAAAAAAACTGAAGGAAAAGGGTGTGGTATTGAGAACCCACAAGACAGTGGAGATGAAAAGTTGCATGGGCCCCAGTGGGGCCTGTAGGTCATGTGACTTCACACTAGGCCTCTCCGAACCCATCCCAGCTAGCCTCCAGCAGGTGGCATCTTTTGATTATCTGGACTTGCATGCCAGTGTAAAGGGAACAAAAACAAGTGTGCCCTGCTTCCGAGAAGCTGAGCCAGGCTCACTTCTCTTTGAGGGTGGCCACTGGCGGGACATGTAGGCTTCAGTGGATGACGCCACATCTTTGTGCATATGGGCAGCACTAATTGGATTCAGGGAACTATTAAGGGTTGGTGAGAGGGAGAAAACACATAAAATTGGGCAGGAGGTATGTTGGGGATATATGTGGGCAAGTTGGAGAAAAGGAGTCAGGGTGGGTATGATCAAGATACATGATATACGGCTATGAAATTTTGATTGCCAGCACCCACATGGTGGCTCATAACATCTCTAATTCCAGTTCTAGGGGAGCTGTTACCCTCTTCTGAATTTCATGGGCACCAGTTTTGTAGGCAAAACACTCATACACGTAAAATAAATACATCTAAAAATATTTAAGAAAAAGAGTTATGTGGTGGTCACACAAGTCTTTAATCCCAGCACTCAGGAGACAGAGGCAGGTGAATCTCTGAGTTCGAGGCCAGCCTGGTTTACAGAGTGAGTTCCAGGACAGCCAGGACTACACAGAGAAACTCTGCCTCAAAAAACAAAACAAAACCAAAAACAAACAAATCAAAAAATTTAAGGAGGAGGAGGAGGAGGAGGAGGAGGAGGAGGAGGAGGAGGAGAAGAAGAAGAAGAAGAAGAAGAAGAAAAAGAAGAAGAAAATTTTTAAAAAGTTTAAAGAAGACTAACCATCTCACTTCCTTGCAAAATTTTGAAAGTCCTCAACCAGGTGGTAGTGGCGCATGCCTTTGATCGCAGCATTGAGGAGGCAGAGACAGGTGGATCTCTGAGAGTTCAAGGCCAGTCTGGTCTACAGAGTGAGTTCCAGGACAGCCAGGGTTGTTATACAGAGAAACCCTCAAAAAAAGAAAAAAAGAAAGAAAGAAAGAAAAAAGAAAAAAAAAACCCTGAAAATTCTCTTTTCCCAAAAGATGAATTCTTTAAAGTATATCTGAATGTTTTGTATATATGTACTTTTAAATTTATTTTTGTGTGCATATATGTATATGTATATATAAATTCATGTGTATATGCATGTACATATATGTATATGTATATATATTCATGTGTATATGCATGTACACATGAGTGTGGAGGCTAGAGGACAACATGAGGTGTCTTCCTCATTTTATTTTATTTTATTTTATGTGTGTATGTATGTATGTGAGTGTGCTGTATATTTTTGGGTGTGTACACCCATGAGAGCACATGGAGACCAGAATAGGCCATCAGGTACCCTACGATATCACACTCTGCCTTATTCTCTTGAGACAGGGTTCCTCACTGAATCTGAAGCTAGGCTGATCAAGCTCCAGTGATTCTCCTGTCTCTGCCCTCAACAGCTTTAAGGCTACCAGCTCATGCACATCCACAAACAGTTTTTTTCAAACATGGGTGTTGAGCTCAAATCTCATACTTGTATAGCTGGTACTTTATTATTGACTGAGCCAACCATCTCTCCAACCCCTAGTCCTTCCTTCCTTCCTTCCTTCCTTCC